ATTTTTGCATCATTGACACTTTGAAGTTGTTCTTTTCTTAAGTGGGACTGTGTGCAAACACCATGATGAACAGATATGCAGTGAGTTTATTTTTGTTGGGCCTTTAAAAGTTGTCTTCATTAGGCATCAACACTGATTGAATGCTATTTTTATTTGGGTATGATTAGATGTTTTTTCAGGAGTTTTCTCCCCTGTAGATAGCATCTGCCAGCTCTCCGTTTTGATGTGGAAATGATGAGCTTGTTAAGACTGGTCTATTAAAAAAAAAAAAAAGAATCACTGTAGAAAACTCTCTGTTTCTTTCCAAACCAAAGTTTTGCAGAGGAGATGCCAGAGTGCAGATAGAAATATTCAGGGTGACAGAACTCACAAGTCAAAATAAAAACATTACTTATGTGGCAGATGAAAATTTGTGGAGTTCATGTTTCAACATTTAAAATTATTTCACCGTCTCTCTTCGGCTTTTGGCAGATTCTTACTTTATTTCTTTTTCTTCATTCTAAAACAAAACCATTACAGCCTTGCATTAAACAAACAAACAGTAAAGTCTATGTGCACCCACTCACCGCAACTGTTGTCCAAACAGAGCTGTCTTTGTAGAAAAAAGGGCAAATATTTGAATACATACATGCACCGTTTCATGTACAGATTAACAATGATCAATTTAGATTAGGGATGCACGATAATATCAGAATGGTATCTGTATCGGCCGATATTAGCGATAAAGTTAAATATCGGACATCAGACATTCCATCAAAATAACCCACCGATATAAAATGTGTTATTTTTGAATGACAACCCAGTGACAAGTAGATTTGAGTTGATCATTAAGATTGTATAACCACATATTGGGCTTCTGTTTTAATTTAATTTTTAATTTTAAAAAGTGTGTCACGTATATCTATTAATGTACTCATACGCATTTCACTTGTTGCTTGTGAACAAGTTGAGTTTAAATTTGTGAACATTTACAAATTTGCACTGTTCAAGTGTTGTTAGAGAGAGTAAATGTCATGAATAAATTTGACATTAAACATAATCCAAGTTGACGTGTTGCATCATTTTCAGCCCCATTTGTGACATCTGAATTTGGTAGCAGGACAAACTGACAAAGACCATGCAGAATAATGTATTATTTTAATTCCACAGCAGAGAAAGCTCTGTAGTCTCTGTAAGTAGGTCTAGGGAAAAAATATTGGTATTGGTTATCGGCCAAATAAGTTTTAACGTATCGGATATCGACCAAAGATCCAATATCGTGCATCTTTAATTTAGATCGTTGATCAAAAATCTAATTCGACTCGAGCTTAAGTAGCACCTTAAAAATGTTCATGCAGAGCAACAAAAAGGTGACAACTTATGGTGATTTTTATGCTCTGAGGAGCAACACAAAGCTATCAGGCAAGTTGCTTTTTTCAAACGTATGTTTTGCAGGAGTTCAGTTCTCGATATAGAGCAGCTGCTTGATGACTCACATTCTGATGAGGATGGAGCTAAAGTCTGCACAGACATCTTGCATCTCTAAAAATACACTTTTTAGCATGATGTACTAAGACACAGATAATAAATAAATAAAAGTTGGCAGCTTCTGACTGGGAAACAAAACAGTTAAACTCAATAAAACTAGATGGCACTTTGAGATCAAGAGATAATCAGGGGGCTTTGTTTAACTGAACAAAGTGCAAAATGCACCTCGGTAAGTGTCAGACTAAATGCTTGCAGATAATTGACATACGGCATCCATCCAGAAGACAAAGTACCCAAAAACAGTCACACTGTGCGTGTGTGAATCCCCTGAACTGTATAACTTGGTGACAATCCCTTGTCACAACAAAAAAATACAGCTGACAGCAGAAAATTCCTCCGTGTGGCAAACTGTTCTCAGATTGGCACTTTCAGGCCACTTTTTCTACTATTACTTTGTTTTTTTATGGCAGAGCTCAACCACATCTTCCTTCTTGGCAATTTATAAAATCCTTCAAGTTGACTTTTTTTAAATAGTGCCAATTCACAACAAAACACATATCAGAGCACCATACAAAAGAAAATAAGTACAAATCCTGAATCCAAATCATTCCAAAACAGATCCACTTTCAAATCTATTTGCAGTGCATTCTGAGGTGCCAGTCAGGAAAAGTTATCTGAGAAATGTGCTGAATCGTCACAGCAGAACTCTCAAGATAAAACAGCTTGCTGGCGACAGTGGGAAGGAATGACGGTAAAAATGGAGCTGCTCACACACTAAGAATAAAATTAGCATCTCTAAACCAATTTGCAAACCACTGAAAGCACCTAAATTTAGAAATGAGCACAAATAAGGAAAAAAACGTTGATTTGTCTAAAATGTTTTAAATAAAACTAAAACATTGATTCTAGACATCCATCCATCCATTATCTTTTACCCGCTTATTCCATTTTGGGTCACGGGGGTCGCTGGTGCCCATGTCCAGCAATCACTGTGCGAGGGGCGGGGTACACCCTGGACGGGTCGCAAGTCCATCACAGGGCCACATAGAGACAAACGAGACAAACAAACATTCACTCTCCCACTCACACCTAGGGACAATTTAGAGTTACCAATCAGCCTAACATGCATGTTTTTGGTCTGTGGGAGGAAACCGGAGTACCCGGAGAAAACCCACGCATGCACGGAGAGAACATGCAAACTCCACCCAGAAGGCCCCTGGACCGGGGTTTGAACCAGGGACCTGCTCGCTGAGAGGCAGCAGCTCTACCAGTTGCGCCACCGTGCTGCCCTGATTCTAGACAGACTATTAAAATTTAAGGATCTAAAAATATCCATCAATAATAATAATAATAATAATAATAATAATAATAATAATAATAATAAAGTGCTATGTGTTGTCATCATTGTATGTTCCCATACAAAGACAAAACTGGTTCTCTGCATTTCACCCATCGCACCTGGGATACACCCAGGTGGAGCAGTGGGCATCTATGCAAGCACCCGGGGAGCAATTCGGGATTGGGTGTCTTGCTCAGAGACACCACGAGATGTGCAATGACCGGAGATTGAACCCAGGACCTTCAGGTCCCAAGTTGGCTGCCCTGCCCCAAAACCATCTTGGCACCCATACATATATACATACATACATACATACATACATATATACATACATACATACATACATATATATATATATACATACATATCCGCTTATTCCTTTTTGGGTCACGGGGGTCACTGGTGCCCATGTCCAGCAATCACTGTACGAAAGGCGAGGTACACCCTGGACAGGTCTCCAGTCCATCACAGGGAAACAGAGACAAATGAGACAAACAACTACTCACTCTATCACTCTCTCCTAGGGACAATTTAGAGTTACCAGTCAGCCTAACATGCATGTTTTTGGTCTGTGGGAGGAAACCTAGACGTGCACAGAGAGAATGTGCAAACTCTACCCAGAAAGGCCCCTGGCTGGATTTGATCCAGCAACGTTCTTGCTGAGAGGCAACAGCTCTACCAACTAAGCCACCGTGCTGGAGATGCAAAGCATTTACAGAAATGACTTGATCCATTAAGAATCTCAGCCTCTGAAGAAATTGTGGGTCTTGAATAAGACAACATGCTTGAAACAAGAGAAGCTGCAGGTTTGAAAGGTTAAAACCTCACAAACTTTGCTTCAGATCCAGATGTTTTATGTGGTCTCAGAGTGTCCTTGTGGTCTCCACAAATCTTGCTGTTCACTTTCCAGTAACAAGAACAGCTACGTGCTGCTTGGCATTGGCTTTGCACCTCTACATCTCTACAATCCAATATTGAGTCAACATTATAATGTGCATTTTGGAAAAAGGCTGGTCTCAATTTGTTGGTGTCGGTCTTTGAATTGATGGCTACAAAAGACCCGACCAGATAAAGTGCTCGGAGGAACAAATTGTACCAAACAGTGTGTTCTTTAACGCAGGAGAGTGCTGCTGCTGCACCTCTCAGAGGAATCATTATCAAGCAAGTCAACACGCAAAGAAGGTTCATTCAAACACACACAATCTCAAGAGCACCCAAAACTCTTTTCTAGACTGACATTACTGTTAAAATAATACAAAGACAGACGCACTTGTCACCTCGAACCTCTGATATTTTCAGTCTTGAGTGACCTGAGCATGACGGTAGCACAAAGGAATAATGAAAAGCTGCAGAGTCGCTGGAACAACAAGAAGAAATATGAACCATTATGTGACATTCAGTTCAAAACGCTGCCTCTTGAATTATGCTCTCTCTTTCAAGCACAAGCTTCCTGCCTTCTTATCTCTGCCTGATAACCTTTGCGAGGTTTACAGCAAATGAAATGTATTATTTGGCGAGAGGCAATTCCCCTCTCTGGTACTTACAGAATAGCGTCAAAGACACTGTGAGCAGCAACTGAAGGGGTCAAAAGTTTACAAAATGTAAGAAAAAAAAACAGTTTTTAATTTGCTCTGAGGAGTCTTGATGCTGCACTGAATTAATAGCAGCAAATGCCATTTTGAAAGCAAGAGTAATTGAATGGTGAAATATGAATGTAGCTAATTAGCTTAACTGACCTGAGTACTTAGGCTTTCATTAGTTCACAGCAATAACAAAACACCCTCCAAGCAAGTTTTTTTTTTTAATTTTTTTTTTTATGTGAGATGCATGAAACCACATTTGACAGCCATCTGCCACTTTTGTGTTTAGAAAAACTGTCAGAACATCAAGTTCACATTTTGATATCGGCTCCTTTTAATCGAGGCTTTAAACCAATTTGACCATGGATAAGGATAAAAGGGAGGGGGAATCCCTGGATTAAAAACAAGTGCAGAATTAGACTCATTTTGCAGGGGCTAAAGAGATTAGGCCCTAAGTTGGAGCACCCATTAAACACCCAGAACAAGCTAATCTTAAAAACAAGAGGCAACTATTACCTCGTAACCTGCTTTTACGTTTCATTGTGAAAAAACGTTGACAAAAACTTCTTGATCAAGTCAGCACATATTGTTCAGATAATGTAAAACACGCTTACCTGCACCAGGTTCCAACCCTCCAAGGACTCTGCGATGATGGACGTGACAGAGGGGCAGACCCCGCCGAAGATCATCAGGTGTTTGGGGCCGTAGCATATGGCATCGAAAAAGGCCCTCAGTCCTTTGGCGTTGTCACACTGCAGACACAAGAAAAGGGTTCGGTTTCAGATGGGTCTTGAGATGTTGTGTACACATTAAATTTTAAACTGACAGTATGTTTCATGCCATAACTGCTCCGAGTACCACAAATTTAACAAAACAGTTTATAATAGCTGCAGCCTAATAGGTTTATTTAGCTTATTAGTGAGGTTTGTACACTTTAACCAGTAAAGAATGGGATGAGGCCTCTACCGCTCTGCTTCTACTAGAAGGTTTAGGAAACAATTTAGTTTACTTGGGAACAAATGTGCAGATGTCAAACCTTTGATCCGTCAATAGTGCGAGCTAAAGGGTGACAAAATTGTGCCAAGTGAAAATGTGCTCTATGTAAAAGAAAATGTGGCATTTAAATGACGTTTAACTTGCTGCTTGCACCACAGAACTTAAAGACTTGCTGGCTCGTGCAACTGTATGTTTGTGCATGTGTGTGATATTCTGAAACACCATGGCTGTAGGAGCAAGGCTCTGCTCTAGTGCTGCAGAAAGCAGACATTTTACATCACTATGGCAACCAAAGACAGTGTGTAGAAGTGAGAAACAATAAATAATAAAAGAAAAGAGTAAAAAAAAAGTGTATTGATTGCTACATGATCCCTAGCTGACTGGTTTTGCTTTACATCTCCAATTTCCACCGTTTGTCATGACTTTCCTTTCAGCAGTAAACACTTCCCTGCTTATTGATTTATTATTGCCACTTAATTCCAGATGTCTTTATGGGTGCAACTCCAACGCAGGCGAACTATGGCAGGTGGTGTGTTTGCGCACTGACAGCGTCCATCTCACTTGGAGGGTCATTTTGCCTTGTTAGCAATCAGCCAGTGACTGAATGAAATCACCGAACACCAGCTGCAATACTTTACCTCGATTGGAGAAATGAGATTCCTGACAGACACACAGGACTCTGTGTTGTGATCCATTTCCAACTTTATTAAGTGTAGTGGCAGGTGTATTGGCTGCAGGGTTGATACAAACTCAAATCCAGTTATCTGCTATGATGTCTTTCATTCTTGAGAGGAGGATGATAGTCTTTAACTGGTAGCTGGAAGAAGATATGAGGAAGCGGGCAACTTTTATATCCTCACAAGTCATATCAAGACCTCCTAGAGCTGTGTTCCCACATTACTGCCACCTCCCCTGTGATTTCTGTATTTCTGCCCCGGTAGAAGTTGCATGGATATAAAGACCATTTTCTCGTATGGATTCCAACAGAGCAATGCCTGTGATGCCATTCAAAAATAGACCTGATTGCAGATGTGCCTCAGGTGAAATGAGAGGGAGATGTGATTAGACACAGTGGGTATGCCTTATCATGGCCACACAGCATGAAACAGTAGGCTATTAACGAAGATCTCCTATTAGTCCATGCTTATCCTTCTTTATTCCCTTCCTTCGGCTGCCTGGAAGGAGGTGGGCTGCTATTGAAGGATTGTGACTCAATTGGTTACCATGCAACAAAAACAAAAAAGAAGTGTGGGCAACTAAACCTGTCGACGAAAATACAATAGTGCTCTTTGATGGAGTACTTTCAGGCTGATTTAACATGCGGAGTAACAATGGACTGTAGGTGGTAAAATATTAGGTTGGTATGTTTGTATTTTTAATGCCACGACAGCACCTGGTTCCCGGAAACAAAATCCGACACCAAGAAACTTTAGACCTAACCAACTTTTCTGAAAAACTGAGTGCAGTTTTTTCCTCCTACTTTATGAACTACTGTAATTATTTCCTCCTCACCTTCATTCATCCTTTTTTTTTTTTACTTTTTGGCATTAGCACAAGCTGACAATCTGTTGTGACTGCTCATAAAGCCTTGACCAGCCTGTTGTCATGCCAACGATGTGACTATTCACACTTTGAGCTAGGGATAAGGGAGGATGCCGCTGTAGGACCTTTGTAGTGATGGCTATATTTAGCCTCTCATTAGGTAGCACAACCACACCGACATTAATCAATACTTAATTCAGCTACGGAGACGCAATAAAGGTTGGACAGACAAAATGAAACAAATGGGAGTGAGGCAGTGCGATACAAAAGGGGGACAAAGCAAAAAGAGAAGTGGAGATAGTGATGGTAATGGAAAGAGAAGAGGGAAGCCAGCAATCGAAAATGAGCTAAGAAAGACAACGTATTAACACACCTATTAACCATGCAACCACTATTATCAAACCTGCCCTCTATTATTAACTCACAGAAGAGTATTTAATAAACTCAGACATATTCTGTGGTGCTGATACTGAGAAGCTGCACTATATTTGTTAAAGTCTCTCAAATATGGAAAATGTACACAATCAAAAATGCAAATTACACCTTTACACATATTCTTTCACACTTGTAAAAACAATGGGTAAAAACTCGCAAATTTCACGGACCCTCCTAAAAAATACAAGAAAAGTCCTGCGGATAAAGTGTTACTGTAGATGAAGATGGCATAACAGCACTTTACTCTGAAGCAAAGCAGGAAGAAATACAACAGCACTTTATTCCCCTCTGCTCCAGTCTGAAATGTAATTCCTGGCATTTGGAGGCCATTTGGAGCAGATCGATGGGGTTAACGCCCGTAGTAATCTGTTTGACTGGCTCATGAGATGGCAAAAAAAGGGTAGTGGTTATGGAGGGGGGGGGATAGAAGACAAGGAGAGTGCTGGCTGAAGAACCTGAAAATGGGAGATTCAAAGGAGTTGTACTAGGAGTGGACAATAATTTGATATATATCACAATACACTTTTATTCGATAATGGTGATACGAGTTTTAAGCACATTTTTGACATTTCGATATACATTACGCTACGATTACAGCGTTTCACTGACGTATTTCTTTTTCTGTTCGGGTTGAAGCGGCCGCTTGTTTCAACGCGAACAGAAAAATCTGCGACACAACTACGCAAGTGCGTAGTGACGTACACTACAGCTCAAAGGAGTCAACGGTAGCAGGCTAGGCTAGGCTAGGCTATGCTCCAACGCGTGCTAAGTTTTCGCTTCAAAATGAGTGCCCATGATCGTCAGAATGTGACCGAACAAGCTTTCACAAGTGAAGAGAAAGCAGGTGACATGATTGATAAGAGAGGAAAGACTAACTCAGCGGTGTGGAAGTGATTCAGCTAAGATCCGATAAACTGCAGGTTTCAGTGTGCTGCAAAATGTGACGGAGAGTTCCAACTAGCGGTGGGAACGCATCTAACTTGTTCCACGTTTCCATTCAATCGAATATGCTGAGAGTCAGAAGAAGTTTGAGCTAACATGGCATTTAAATTAAGAAATATATTGTGACAAAAGTTTTGGCCATATCACCCAGCCCTAAGCTGTACCATGTCCAACGCTGACCTATGAACAGAGAGTTTACTACAGATGGCCACACAGTTCTAGATGGGAGTTTTACATCAGAACCTGAAAGTGGGACTACTCTTTATATTAGTTTCTCTTATTTTTCAGAAAGATCTCCTCCTCAGTTTGGCGTTTCAGTGGACACTTGGAGCACTTCAACACTCTGACTAGCTGTTCCATCCGTTATATTGAACTCTCCTCAGCCTTATTTCGTAACTCAAAATCCCCCATGGTGACCTTTACACAATGCTACAGAGATTAATATCCATTGATGACGTGATAACGTTTGCCTTTTGTTTTTTTGCTGGAGATAAATCACATTCAACCAGGATAAATGCAAGGAAATAGTTTCTTTGGAATTTAGCTACAAATGGCTTTCCCCCTCCTTATGCATGTGATAAATTGCTTCTATTAAACAGTTTTTAATCAAAGTCCTGCATTTTATATAGAGTATATATTTAAAGGTCAGCATGCATCAACTACAGGAAGTTTTATTCAAAACCTTCTGCAAGCACAGTTCTTCATGCAATGTAAGCACGTAAAAAAAATCTATATAATTCAGTTTAACATTGGGACGAAATGTTAGGCACGAAGGAAAAACAGTTAAACAAAGCAGACACACCCACATAAACGTTACATCTTTAACATCTATGAAAACTATGGGATGTTTTTAAATTTGTAACTTTAACTTCATTGATCCAGTCAGGCAAATTAACCATCTTCTCTCACACAGCATCATAGTGGAGATGGTACAAGCCAAAAAAAACCTGTTTTATTTTCAACTCATATTCTCTGATCCACTGATATTAGATGCAAGATTACCTATTAGAGAACACCAAAGTGCCAATATGAGCACGATATGTGTGCACGTTTATTTATGTGCATATTTTGACAAGAACAGGAGCTGGTCGGTGGGCAGGCTCGAGCCAACCATGATGAAATGCCTTGTTGGCGCTGCAAACAGAGGCATCTGCACCTGTCTCTCACCTAATGAACAATTACTGGACCCAAATCAGCAGCCTGAGGCCCAGTGTCACACACACACTTCCACACACACATGCCCGCATGCACGTTCTTGTAAACATACTTTTTGGGAACTTTGCATTGACTTCCATTAATTTTCTATAGCCTAACCCTGACCCTTACCCTAAATCTAACTATTACTAGTACATGCCTAACCCTAACCATAACCCATCCACAATTTACACCTTAGTCCTAAACCTAACCCCTAACCCCCCAACGAGACTTCTCCTTTAAGGATCTGGCTTTGGTCCCAATAAAGAGCAGTTGGTTCCCACAGTGCATGATTTTTTTTGTAAAATTGGTCCCTACAAGATAACCTGAAACAAACACACACACACACACACAAAAGAAGAAATGTCTGAAGTGAGATGGGACATTATACTTCACACACTGTTTATAACTACACAGAATAAAATATCAGAGAATCACTGACATCGTTTTAAAGAGTTAAAACTCTTTGAGTTCTAAAGAAAAAAAATTGTACCAGTAAACAAAAACTGAATGTATACTGGTTTTTGTCATGTTGATTTGTAAATATTGAAATAAAACATCTTTGCGCATGATATGATTTTTACTTTGATTTATGTATCAGTGATTTGCAATAAAAGCGGTTTTTAATGAAATTCTTGAGCTCATTCAGCAGTTTTCTCCACAAAATCATATATTTTTTAATATGACACTTTTACAAATATTGCCCCTTTTTCAAAAGTTAGGTTAGCCAAAACTTTTAAACACCCTCACATTCTTTTCATATTTTACATTAAATTCATCTTTACTTCAGAAAGAGCCAGATTCATAAACTTAAATGTGCATCTAGACACAGAGACAGACATTTTTTCCTTTATATGAAATTCTACTTACATATAATGTTTCAATAATTGTGAAATTGGACCCACATGGACAACCTGGATGGTTGTTACTTTTGACTCTAAACTAAAGTGACACAAACACTCCTTCAGTTATTAATTTGCATACAAAAACTGTGTATCCCAACTAAATAGAGAGTTATAAAAACAGAAAAGAAGCACGGTTTTAAATGCAAACTCTTGCTATTCACCAGTGAGTTTTATTTGGTGGTCCTAATACAGAAATCACCAATGACACAAAAAGGGGCAAAATAAAACAGAAAATAGAAAAAGTCTAAATGAAAAGATCTCCAAAAATGATCAAGAAAAAGACAAGAAATGCAGAAACTGAGCTACAGTGCATTACATTACACAGCTCAAAGACAAAGCAATTATTTAATGTCTATAATTAAAACAGCACATTATTCAAACTAAGAAGCTAAAAAAAATGATTATTATTATTTATTATGGAAAAAGTGTGTGTATTGTCTTTCATGTTTTTGTGTTTTCTCCTCATTTTGACTTAAATGTGTGAAAAAAGTGTGAGGCGCACTACTGCACATTAATTCATTGATTCAATTTCTTATTTCTGTTTGACAATAAAAC